TGAATCATAAAAGATTGAATTAACCCAGAAATAATCAGTGACATAAATGGATCTATTAGAATGTACAGAATGATCAAACAAGCCAACCAGTCAGTGTATTTTCACATTGGTTGCCTTTCCACCCAACATTGCGAAGCATTAATTTATTCTCAATATCTGAAAATGTTGATTTCATTTCTCTGTTTCATTTTTCCAGTTGCCCTGGGCTCTATGCTAATGCACCAACATAAGACAGATTCTTAATTTTCTGAACTTGCTTCCCTTTTTGCTTAGCCATTTCTCTTACATACATATTAATAATTTATGTTAATGGAGTTATTGTATTGCACTTGCCCCAATTCTACTACATGGATACCTAAGCAGCGCACTTATCTTGGCATTTTGGTCAACTAAAATTTATAAAGAACTATTAGGTGAGTTGATTACACATTATTGCACAAATTATTAGCAGCATTAATAGAAAAAATATATAAGAAAATAATCAGGTCAGGCACGGTGGCTCACTCCTGTAATTCTAGCACTTTGGAAGGTCAAGACAGAAAGATTGCTTGAGCCCAGGAGTTCAGGACCAGCCTGGCCAACATAGCAAGACCTCATCTCTACAAAAAAATTAAAAAGGTAGCTGGGCATGGTGGTATGCACCTGTAGTCCCAGCTACTCAGGAGGCAGAGGTGGGATGATCGCCTGAGCAAGGAGGTCAAGGCTGCAGTGAGCCATGTTCACACCACTGCATTCTAGCCTAGGTGACAAGACTGTGACCCCATCTGAAAAAATAAGTAAATAAAAAGAAAATAATGACCTAGTCTTGGCAGACTGAAGAAAGAGTTCTTAGATCGAAAAAGTAAAATCACTTCTAGATTAAAAAAGAGAGAGAGGAAAGAGAGAGAGAGAGAAATAGAGTACATACAAGTTTGTTGCACAAGAGCAGATTTTACCAGCTGTTACATTCATCCTTGTTAAGTTTCACCTTATTCCTTTAGGCACATATTTCAGTCTTTCATGATCTGTGATGAATTATGACATAAGATTTGATCCCTTTTAAGCTTACTTTGTCATTTGAAAATTCAATATATTTGTTCAAGTTGTTGATATAATAACCACCTTCCTCCAGGTTGAATCTATACATTTTTTGGGTGCTGTTGTTTAGAAGTCATCTATTTTATTTAGTTTATATTTCTTCATCTTGTTTACAATAACTTATAAAGATTTTTATCACATATTTTACTGAATTTAGGATAACTGTGCCTGCAACTATTTTTTTTTTTAGGATAACTATCTTTCTGATCCTCTAGTAGAAGAGCGTTAAAAGACAAATTAGTTTGCAGCTTGGCCTTCTTCATATACGGAAGCTATGTAACGATATGTTTTTGTCCATGAAATTTATCACAGCATTGTGAAATACCCTGGTACTCTTGTGTAATTCTTGTGCTTCTTTTATTACTGTCTTCCTTTTTAGAAAAAATCAGCTTTATTGATACATAATTTACATGCTATAAAGGTTACCCATTTAGAGGGTACAGTTCAGTGGTTATTAATATATATACAGTTGTGTAACCATTGCCATTTTTATCACTCCAAAAGAAACTTGATCTTATACCCATATATTCTCTCACTCTCTCTCTCTCTGTTTCATCTAAAAGTGATTTTGCTTTTGTTTTCTAAGGAAGTCTTTCCTCAGAAGCTTCCTTTTCTTTAGGGATTTCTCATTCTGTTTCTTTATATCTCGTGTTTATAAGCCTGGAATTTCATTCTTCCCTTATATATATGGAAAAAAAAAAGATAAGAAAATTTGGCTGGGCGCGGTGGCTCAAGCCTGTAATCCCAGCACTTTGGGAGGCCGAGGCTGGTGGATCACAAGGTCAAGAGATCGAGACCATCCTGGTCAACATGGTGAAACCCCGTCTCTACTAAAAATACAAAAAATTAGCTGGGCATGTTGGTGCGTGCCTGTAATCCCAGCTAC